TCAAAGTTGAAGATCTGCCAGCTTGTAAAGTATTCCTTTTCATATGAGGAAGATTAAGTTCGCATTTTATGCAAGTTTCCTAGTATGTAGCTTTGTCTCTTGTCATACATCACATAATTACTGCATTTCACCGCCAGCAATCATTCTTAAGTTAAAACCAGCTATAAACCTCTCATTAGTAAAAATAAGACAATGAAAGTAGGATGTACACCTTCAAAAAGAGAACCTACTGTTAAGGGAGTTAATCTCTTCATTGCACAATAGATAAAAGAATAAATAATTTTCACTTAGGGCTTTTTTTTTCACATGCAATCAAAATAGTTTGTGATAACATGTCTGCTGCCAAAGGCTTCATGAACACAGAGTATTTTGCAGATGGGGTTGATCTTCCTTCTACACTGCATTCAAATAAGAGATTTTTTTTTAATCAGCAGCTGACCAGATTTTTGTGTTTGTATTATTGAGAGTGGAGAAAAGCTGCACACCACCTATTTACAACCTTAGCCAGGATAAAGAATGTTTTCTGGACAAGGATAAGCCCCTGGTCAGACCACATTTTCTCTAAAAAGTTTTGTCCTGAACTGTAACTAGAGCATGGAGGCTGGTATTGGTGCTGAGAATGGTTGTTGGCAAGTTTGACATTATTTTGTGCCAGGCAGAGACTTCATGTGCCTTCTATTATTGCCTCCTATGTAAAACCATATTCTCTTCCAATCCAGTTCCATCAAACCAAAAGATGAAGAACTAGGAATCTCGATGGTTTTTCTTGTTGTCAAAGCTTTCCAGAGTTAGGAAGAGTGCCTGAAAAATTCCAGTCTTCCATGTTCCCGTGAGAATTTCATTCAAAATGAAAATACAGCTAAGACATCCTCCATGTCATGTCAACATTTTAAATGTCATTTTCCTATAGAATGCCTACTGTGGGATCACTGGCACCTGTGTTTGGTACCAGCAAGTAATGGGCTGCTATACCCAGTGATGAGTTTGAACTTTTAAAAGGGACAACACACAAGAAGGCAAAAAAGGGATAGAGGAAGGGAAGCAGGCTGGAAGTGAGGAAGAAAGAGGTTGCATATCCAATACACTAAAGAATGATATGAGGACTGAGATGTGTTCGAAAGCAGTGCACCATCACTTAAGTGTATAACACATTTTAAAGTGTATAACATCCATTTTCTGCTTATGGGACCATCGCACAAGATAAATCTCCTGAAAATATTTTATCTTGCTTTTGGAATTCACTCAGAATTGCATTTAGTATATGCAAAGTGAAGGAAGGTCAGCTAAGTATCTTGGTGTCCAGGCATGGTAGGATCACCAGGAAAAAACAGTGATGAATACAATAGGAATACGTTCAGGTGAGATTTTCAAAACTGGCTATTGATTTCAACAATAAAACTATGGGAACACAGCCACATAATTGAAGAATTAATTTCAGAGCCCCGCTCTTGTACCAGAAGATGAGTAGGCTAAATACACCTGAAAATTCAGGAAATAGGATTTCTGAGTAGGACAACCCAGTGTTGTGCTGGCATTTGGCAGGATTTTCATACATGACTTACAACGGAAGCAAATAACCAAACAATTTTCAGATAATTTTTCAAAACTTTTCAGCACTAGAGATACCTTGTTATATATAAAACCTCTGCATTTCAAAATCAAAATTAGAGGACAAATAACATTCTGTTATAGAAGTAGCATACTGAATGTTAACCATGCCAAATTCCTCCCCCGCCTCCCCTGCCTCCTCTGAAAATAGTTGAAAAATCCACTGAATAAGATTTTTTTTCCACATAGTTTCTAATAGGATTGAACTACAGCAAAAAATTCTAAGAAACCTGAAATTGTATAATATTAATTATAGTAATGATGAAAGATTCTAAATAAATTAGTTCTTCCAGAAGCCATCCATGAGAAATTACAGTGGGAGCCAAACCACAAGCACTTTTTTGCCTCTTTGAAACATTTAGATGGAATGCTTTCCAAAACAGGGATGTGCTTGAGGGGAAAATAAGAAAAGTAATTTTGTTAACCAAAATAAGTAGAATTCAAAATTACTTTTGGAGTTTTTCCTTTCCTATTGAGAGAAAACAATAGAAGGGGAAATGTTCCTAAAATAAAATTCAGTTCTTATGTAAAATACACTTGCCATTGCAGGGTTCTTTTACAGTTACAGAGTAGGAATATTCTCTGAAGCTCCCTAATTATTTTCTTCCAAGTAGTGTGCCTAACTAATTCTACAAGAACTCCTAGTGTATAAGAGTGCACATGAAGTTGGTTCTTTCAGGTGTGTGTGGCATATATCCTAGAGTTACTAAGTACTTTACAGAGAGAAATAACAAATAAAACCAACTACATTGCACTAATGACTTTTCTCCGGGCTCTTTGAGCTTAATTACTAAAACCAGTAGCAAGTGCAAATATAATTTCAGTGTAATAGGTCACCTCCTATTAGCCTACAACTTGTACAGAAAACACCTAGTCAAATTGCTTGGTCACCAGTTAAGAGGGTCACTGCTTTTCCAGGAGGTTTAAATCCCCAACTGTTACATAAGCCGTCATCAACTTGCCTGCTAAATGTGGGCACTTATATTTGGGATTCATCAAAATCTGGGAAGCAGTTATTTCTTACACCATATTTATGAATAATGACAAGACACTGCCAGCTGGTATGTGTAAAATTGTCTAGACCAATCTAAAAGAAGTATGTTTTTGCATCTTTTCTTATGGCAGCTTTGAGGGCCAAGGAGGCAGACTGGATAATTTTCTAGTGACTGCTAAATGACCTCAAACTCTTGTAGAAATAATGCCTGCAAACACTACATCTTTGGCGGCTGTGACAGAAATACTAAAAGAAAAAAATTGGAAGGGCATCAGCACTTATGCTTTAGGACTAATGTTGTCTTAGAGAAAAAGGAAGTTTTCTACCTAGGTCTAATATTTCGTAATTTTGTAATGGGGAGATTTTGAATTATCATCACAATTACATAGTACTAATCACTCTTTGAAATGTGATCATGTCTTAAGATTTGGAGATGTAACCTAGTGAGGTAGGCAGTTGTGTCTGCAGTGCATTCTGCAGTGTTTCCTAGTGAAAGACTGCATAAAGGAATTTATCAAGTTTGTTTTTCTTTTAAAACCATATTTACATGCATTTCTTTTCTCTCTTGTGTACATCTTAAATTCTAGATAGCTCTACAGTTCTGTGATTTAACTTGGGGTTTTTCCCCCCTGTACTTTTTTTCACTAGAAGAGAGAAGTCCTGCAAACAACATCCAGCATTCAAAATGTCTTTAGTTAGGGTGAACACGCTAACCAAAAATATTGAATTCTGAAAGGGATGACGTGGTGATTCAGAAAATAAAGGAAAAATGTGAGGTGAGAGAGATATGGGATGAAGAAGACTTTTATGAAAGAGAAATTTTTTTTTGTAAGAGAAAGGAAGAAGAGCAAGGCAGAGGAACTATAAAGTTAGTTTTATTCTGAGAGACCTAATTTTTTCCATGAGGCATAAATGTTTTGACATGGATATCATCTCCATCTCTAGATGGGGAGACACCAGCTGATACCATGATTACCACAAACTGAATTCTCAAATTCTTAATAAAAATTACCTATAGCTTTATTGGGAATATCCTTGTCTTTATGCATAATAAATATTCAATTCATGCTGAAAAAATATAGCTTATCTTTGTAGGCAGAAATGTTTGAAAATTATTTTCAATACCACTCATTAATCTGTACAGCCAGTTACCCTGAGTGACCCCTTGAACCGTCATATATACTATTATTTTAAAAAAGATTATTGTATGTGGGTAAAAACACTAAAAGTAGCATACACACAGTTCATGCTAATATTTTGCCACTTTGAAGACTTACCTCTCTCTTTTAACTTTTTATTTTACTGTGTATTCCTCTCTAACAAGTGCACATTTGAAGGAAATTTAGTTTAACCATGTGGAGTAAAAAGATATAATTCTACTGATCTGCTACGAAAGAGAGGTAAAGATATGGTTCCACAGATCTCTCAAAAGAATTTGAAAACATCTGTTAAAGTTTCCATCTCCTGTCCCACTATGCCCCCATATTGTAGAAAAGTGAGTTTATTTACTATTTTGTTTTACACCTGGATACAATAAGTTGCTGTGGGGAAGACTGTGTTTCTCAGAGGCATCTAGACAAACTATGACTCATTAGACATTCCTGAAGTGTGGTGAAATGGAAAAGTCAATGGAGTGCTGTAATATCTGGGTATAAGTTACGCATGAACAATTAAGAGTATAGCGTTGAGGGATTAACATTATGTGGTATGTTTTCCATTTAATTAATGAGATGATGCCACTCCAACTATAGCGGTATCTATAGAGAAATGAATCCCATATCAATATGTATGTTTAGAACTCTCAAGCCGAAAGCACAGTTTACTCAGCACAGAGAAATTGCATGTCTTTTTGGAAAAGAATGGACCTATCTGTGACATTGCATAAATGCCCTTGTTATTGTTTTGTGTGAACACTTGCCCACATCTCTGAAAGATGCACTCATCCATGTTTAGGGGAAAGATGCTAAGGATTCTGAATTTCTTGTTGAACCATATGTAGGTGTTAGGAGAATTCTCTCACTGAATAATGGAGGGAGCAGATTCTCTTCTGTGCTGTGTGCTGTCTGCTCTGTATCCCTGCCATGGCTCCTCAGTCTTGCTTAACCTATTTTTTCATTGGGAACCTCAGTTTCATGACATTTTTCCCCTTGTGGAGACTCCAGCTTTCTTGTCTGACCACTAGAGTGGATGGGTCTCATGGCATCTTCTCTCTGTGCTAATCAACAAAATGTCATTTACATTTTAAAGTTCTCTTCTCCTGGAAACAAGAGAGAGAACAGCAAGTGGATCCAAAAGGAGAGGCATGGCAGGAAAGTAGCTTCCACTCTGTCCCATTTTGCTTCTCTAATGAGCTAATGGCAATCATGTAACTACTCTGCACATTGCTCTATCTTGTGATTTTAGAGAGCATCCTTAGATAAGCTATTCTTGTGTAATAGAGAGCATCCTTAGATAAGCTATTCTTGTGTAAAGCTTCTTCCATTGTGGGTATATGTTACATGAGGCTGTGATCCAGAGTTGTCCTCCTGACTGACATCAGATATGTTTTGGGCATGCAGTTTTATCATGTACAGACCAGAAATGGCTAACAAAACTGGAAGGGACTAAGTAGATTAAATTTTGTCAAAGTATTATTAGTGTGGCTTGTACCCAGGATGCACTTCAAGAAGTCTCATCTGTAAAAGACAGTGAGGATTGTTATCAAACCATCTAAGAATTTCTTTCCATGGAGCTCATCTGAGAGTGGTAAAATAAGAGTTGACATCATCTTTCTATAACACAAACAGCATTATAGAAACAAAATATGCATTTTTTTCCTTTGTTAGGGAAGCAAGTCTATACTATTTAATATAGGATTTTTTCCTGCTACTATTTTTCATAAATGGATTGTTGTTATCCATCCTAATACAAGAGCATTTGACCTGCTAATCATTCTCTTTCACAACTATTCCAGCATTCCAGACTTCTGTCTGCAATCACTAAATATATAATAATAGCTTTTAAAAAACCCAATTAAAATTAAAAAAAAAAAAAGAGAAAGCTCTCCTCCTTTATTTTCAGCACAGATTGAGCGCCCTCACTCTTTTTTGCTTAATACACTTATAAAGAAACACTGGCAAATAAAAATCAAGTAGCAAAAAGCCAAGCTGGACTGACCATCTTTAGAGCAGTGTGAATGGTCACTTGGAACTGTGTCATACTGGGACGCATGACTGTTCACTTGTCCTTTATATTACTGTGAAAGAGAGAGTAGTCAGGATGCACAACCTCTGTGCTCCATTTTAGAAAACAAATTGTTTATTTGGAATATAAAAAACTAACTAGGGAAATTATTTTTTTGAGATTGCTATCCTCTCTTACGGGTTTCTATGCCTGCACATTGTGGGACTGGGTATTGTAATGGAATATGGTATTTTTGAGAAGATTAACATGTCCTGTGGTATCACATAAACTTTTCCAGAAGCTAACTGGGGAAAATTTTCAAAAGCACCTTTCACACACAATCTTCTGCTCCCCCTCAAGGTGGATGCTGGTAGGAAAAAGTAAGCAATTTGATTGTTTTTTCCTAAGAGTCCAAAGACTAGATGCACTTCACCCTAGATATGTGTATCATGCCCAGCTTAAATTCTGTTTCAATTTCTCTAATATATGATGTATTTTTTTCAGTAGCAAGTTTGACAGATTTATTGTTACAATTTACCGATTGTCTTCTTTATGAAAGTTAATTTTTTGAAAGGCTCAGGTGGACTATCTTTCTGCTTAAATAATTCCATTGGGCTCCAATATGACAACTCACAAGTTAGATGTGTATTCAACAATATAGATTTATTAGTTAGGCTTATAAACTGTGGCATCTGTGAGTCGTATGTGGCTTAAAAAGCATATCTCAGAGATGGCTGACATTCTGTTGTGTGTGAAATGAAATTTCGTTTCTCTACACGAATCTTCTCTAATTCAAAGGATATCTGTTGAACTATTCCTGGTTTACCCCGGAGTCACTGAGAGATGCCATTCCCTTCATAGACAAAGTACATTAACAAACACTGAATTCTAAAAATTTTTGGAGCCACAGAATTTATTAGCCATTTTCACATCACTGTCTTCTCTTATTTTGCATCCCCAGGCAGTGGATAATCTTTAGATAACCAGGTTGCTGGATGTACTTTGCGTCTAAAAGTTGTGATTGTGAATGAATATATTTCATTCACTTAAAACGGACTAGGTATATTTCCAGGTAACCAAATGAGCTTTTGAAAACTATCTTATATATTGAAATGGAAGTCTTAGGCTCTCTTTGATGCAGAAATATGTCAATCCTGTTTATGGATGAAATGCTTGGTGCCCAGTGGCAGCTAAATCAAAAATAATTTGCCATAGTTGTGTCAAAGTTATTTTGTAACTCTTGTAAGCTTTTGTAGTGAGGTCTTTTGGGTTTCCCCCTTGGCCTCAAGAGCCCATCTATTTCACTACTTGGCATACTCTGAAGATACTGCTAATTTTCACATATTTTGTGGTTTTGTAGTGTGGCAAAGTCCCACTAGGTGCTAAACAAACAACTTCTGAATTTGTGATTTAAGGCACATTTGCACTGGGCTGTCAGAGGTAAAGGATTAATATATCATTCCAGCTCAATAGTTGGTTGTCCCTCCCAGATCCTTCAGGGAGTTTTGCACACTGGAAATTTCATGTAACCTTGTAAGTTTTTAATTTGAAATAATCATCAAAACTATTATTACAGCATCAATGAACAGTCTGTGGCATTTTAGTTGTTTTGCTAAGGAGTGCACAGTCTTTTGTTCCACAAGTTGCTTTCCGTTTACTGTTCCTTACAAAAACCTCTTCAATATGCTGTTTTTTCAGAATATGTTTTTAATCAAAAAGTACATGTTGATGTTTTACGATAAGGCAAGAGGAAAGACTAGCCACACCTTAAGGAAAAGGCTCTAATCCTACAGCTTACTTGTTCCCTTGCTTGGAAAATCTTGTTGGCTCTCAAAATATTCAACACCATTCAAATTTGCCTTTTGCTCTAAAAAGGATGCAAAACACTAAATCCCTTCTCCAAAACCGAATGCACGTAATGTTATGAAAAGGGAGAACAGATGGTAGCATAAAGCTTAAGGGGAAAGTATAGCACTTTAATTCAAATTGTTTGACAGAGCTAAAGACAGCCACTTAGTTACCAATTGCTTAAGTTATTTATGCTCCTTTGTGTAAAAGAAGAAAACAAGAAAATTAAAATGTTTTGTACATTCAGAGAGAAAAGGGTAAGATAAGGCAAAATGGTAGTTTATTTGATTATGCTATTTGCTAAAAGTAATGCCTAAAATGTGATTGATCTTACTAAGCAGCCTTACAGAATCATTAGAATAATTGAAAACTAATTGTATAATGAGTTATTGCATAATTTTGGTTTAACAGTGGGCAAGTTTACCCTGTTACAATGTGATAGCCTACTAGGAAAATATACAGAGCTTCATAACTTGGAAGCTTTTGGTATTTTCCGTCCACTTTTAACTAAATTAGTTTTGCAGTTCCTCAGGATTTAGATTGTGATTCAGTGCATTAACTGATCCTCATGCTGCTTTGATTGAACAGCAAAGCATCCATTACCAGTGCCATATCCAAAGTGACGTTTCCATACAGACTGCCTGCTGTTTCATTCATAACCACAAGGCAGCCCAAAATGACTTTAGTTCTTTTTACAACTTGCAAGGAGTTAATGGACTGTGCTGGCCCCCTGCCAAAACCTTTAAGAAACTTTATTAATGTGTTATGAGGCTGGGACACCATAGTGCGGGATTTTATTGGTTGCTCATTTTAATGAATAAAAATATGTATGCACAATTAAAACCAGGTTTTCAAGCAATTGCCTTCTAGTAAATCTTAAGTCTTTGACAATGATATTTCTAATGTTTGCTAATCACAGTTTTGTATATTTCTTCTCATAATGCAAACCTTTGCCCTGCAAGGATATTAAATTTGTGTTGTGAATGTTCCTTTCCATGCTAGCACCACCTTTGGCCCTGAGAGTACCCCTTTCTCATGCAGAGAAAGAAGTACTGAAAGCTTCTGTTTGGACTTTGCCATAAAAGACAGTGAAGACTGCATGGCTGAGGAGACATAGTCAATCTGTACACAATATATTAAGAGCTAACATAATGTAAATAGCTTCAAAATTAATGCCAGAAGTCAGTTACCGGTAGGGTGGTTGTCTGATGTGATTTAAGTGTTATTCTGCAAACATTTCTTCCCAACAGGCCAGGGTATCCTCTTACAAGTCTTTAAAATTTAGAATTCACTGAAACAGTGACAAAGATAAGACTAGGTAATACTCTCAACAGATTCTAATACCTGGGAACAAGAACAGAGATGGCTTGTTGCATAAAGATATGTGAACACTTTTTTAAAAGAAGACTGTTTCATTACTTTTTCCTTCCATCATTAAAAACTAAAAAAAAAAATCACTTAAAGTGCTTGCTCACTAAAAAGTATCCCAATTTCCAGTCACTGGGTGCATTTTTCTAAAACCTATGGATACTATCAGGGAAAAAAATAATCATAGATTTAATGAAGATTACAACAGGAGATACAGAAAGAAATGTGGAAGTGAAATTCTGTCAGGGACGGAATGAAGAGTTAGTAGCAAAGCAGAAATTTTGAATAAAAATGCCCTCAGTTTGTTTAAATAGTTTGTTATATTAGCACATGTTGACAGTTGTTGAATTCTCATAAAAGTTTCCATTCTGCTTTCAGTCCTCTCATTTGGACTTGAAAATTTCAAAGCATGGTCCCTTAGAAAGCATGCTTAGCATGCAATTTAAGCAAAGAAGATGACAGTGGTTTGCATGTATAAGGAGACTCATAAAGGACAGTCCTTGGTATCAAAACAGAATGATCTTGTGACTTTTTTTACGCTATTTTCTTGTGAAAAATACCTTGAGAGAAAAAAACCTATATGCTGGGGACTCTTACAGAAGAGTGCTGCCGTGATTGCTTTAGGTTTGCGGGTGATGCCCACAGTATTTTTGTAGGAATACATCAGAATCCCAGATGTAGGTGAACCTAGATTCCTTCTTCCTTTGCCCTCTAATGCAGTAACTGTCTATTGTGGACAGGTCTGACCCAACTGAAATAGGCCACGAGCATAAGTAATTAGTGAACAATGCTCTCAAGGAGATGCTTCATTTGGTAGATCATCTCCAGTTGAGGATTTGGATTCAGGAATATATTTTCCGTATAAAAGGGAGGCACGCTTATGCTAATAGAGATTCTGTTTGCAAAATAAAGATTTTTGATTTAATTTTGCACATGCATATGTACACAGGTGCTGCATGAGTATCAGCACATCATGAATCTGGCTTCTCTCTAAGTTTATATAAAGCCTTCAATGCATGAATGAATATTTGAGACATTAGGTTCACTCGATGCAGAACTTTAAGAAAGGATTGCAAAAACTAAAATGCATATGGCTCGGAGAGCTAAGAAATAAAACATACTGCCAACGCTGATTGTGACACCTTGACTTTCAAGCATCTATCTATGCAACTTTCTTTTTGCACATAGCTTTTGCAAACTTCAGGCAAGATAGATTAGGAATCTCTGGATGTGTAGAATAAACAAATAATAAGTTGATGCAAAAACCAGAATTATCTTATGATAACTTTTGCCCCCTCATGTTTTAGAGCAAAGTACACAATTCAGTGTTCTCTTCCAGCAGGTTTTTATGGGATTTAGCCATAAATTCCAGCCATCAGCTAAGGAATGCAAGGAAAGTGGAGGTATTACTCATAACGCTTACATAAAACTGAAACATCTTTAGTAGTGCTCCTGATAGAGGAAATACTCTGAGTTTTCCTGTCTTGAAAATTTTCAACAAAAGGAAGATCATGTAGAAGTAAGTGTAAATAATAAAGTACATCTTGATCCTTCTTTCTTTTGAATACTTCAGCAACTCATATACCAGTGAAAATGTGACCCAATAGGAAGAGCCTTTCTTTATACACAAGGGGACTGCAATGATATTGCTGAGATATAAGGATGTTTCCTACAGTTTTAAAAGTAGAACATGAGTATAATGGAATACTTTTAATACTGTAAATGAAATTTCACTGTCATTTTAAAGCTAGAACAGGTAAAATTTGTTCACTTTGGATTGATTAAACCTGTTTGCCTGTAGCATGCACAACCCAGGGACTGGGGATGCAATCTCATTTTTTTACTGCTTATAGCATGAAGGTGCTGAGTTACATTGAAGTCATCTTTATCCCAAGTCAATGGCCTAGGATCAGGATGGTCAGATAAACTGAGATCCTGGAATCTGAGCTGGACAAAGCTGTTGTATATCTGTTTTTTGTCTCTCATAAATGAACAGAATTGTATTCTTGAGCACTTCCCATATTTCTTTCAGTTCAGGAGAAGTTTTAGGATTCTCAGTAACCGATGTACTTGTTGCATCCATAGAGGAAAATGACCTGTGTTTTTTCAGTGTTTTAAATAAAAGAGCAATGTTAACTCAGTGCAGAGGAGAAATGGGGAACAGTAAGATAGAGAAAATGGTGTGATTTTTTGAAGATGTCCCTCTGCATAACTGACTGGTAAACATGGTCTTTTGCTAGTTTTGTCTTTTTTTTTTTTTTTTTTTTTTTTTTTTTTTTTTTTTTTTTTTTTTTTTTGTAGAGAGCAGTTTAGAGATACACTTATTAAATATTAATAGAAGAGACGCTCTTTGGAACCTTAACCCCAGCTCACTGGAACCTTGCAAGGACATCAGTATTACACAGTTGTGTGACTTCGACCCTGATTACTAATTAAACAGAGGTGAAAGTCACTTAATTCAGAAGTATGTTGAGTGGACATAATTATCAAAGTGAATGTCCTCTCTATTTAGTGGTAAAAAATTTCTCAATAGAGTAGAAAGAATTAGAAGTTAAATATAGTAATATGAATATTATAAACATATAAATATATAAATATTTTTAAAAAATTTAAAAATATATAAATATATAAATAATTGACTGGTGTTGATATGAAGTTTTCTGATGCAATGTGGCCATGATGCATTTCATGGATCAGTTGACTACCATTTTCACAAAAAGCTCTTATTCAGATGTTATTATATAATGATAGTTGATAGGGAGGCTTAGGACTGTAAATAGATAGGGGCAGCACTCACAAGACAAGCTTTGTATTCACTTAGTATCTGTAAGGTTGCGATTCTTCTACTAATGGAATATTTTTTTCTGGTGTGGATACTTATTTTATTTTTTCATTCCAAGTGATGCTAAAATGCCTGTAGAGTTTTATTTCATAAAGAAAATTCTGTGAAGATGCCACGATGCACTGAAGTGTCAGCTGTCATTATCCAAACTGCCTGAATCTCATTAAACTGCCCAGCAAGGAAAGGAAAGCAGTGAAATGTCTTTGCTTTGGTTGTGCACACTCAAGGTTAAAGCAGAGTGCAAGGCCTAAGGAATCTCTCAATTTACATTCGACTTGACACTGGACACAATGAAAGAAAACTCTTTTGTTTATTTTACAGGCCAGGGAGAGAATAGGTAAAGTTTTCTCATTCTGCCCAAGGGTGGTGTATTTTGATGAGAGGTCCACCTCAAATAAAATAGAGACTGTCACACCAAAAGCTTGAGATATTTGGAAGGATTTTGTACATTTTTCTAGTTGCTTGGAAAAGATGGGGATTTTCTTTAAAAGTTGGCAAATGCAATCAGTATGAAGGAGGCATAAAGTGTCTGGGGCTTTGCTAGTGCCTTGTGCCTCAGCACAGAGTAGCTGTGCTTTGCAAATGTCCCAACGTGTATGCTCCTGGCACAGGGGAAGCATATGACGATTTGTGCATAATTTAAAACAATAAAGTAAGCTTCCCTTCAGGAAACCCCTCCTCCCCCCTTTTTTCCCCAGTGATGGGATATGTGGAGCAGTCAGCGTGTCTTCTAGCCCACTGCTGTGCGCAGTGCACTGATGATCCTGGTGTGACTGACCTGCCGTGCCAGGTCCCACTCTTGTCTGGGAAACCAGCTCCTTGCCTCAGTTAAAACAATCTGGTGGTTTCAGAACGAGTTTTGGCTTTTGCCCTTCATGCAGGACGACACTAGACCGACGACATTTCGGGATAACTGTTTGGCAGCCATTTTAGATACTGCCTGTGCTGGGAGCTCTCTGGCTGCCAAAAATTGCAGACACTCTGTGCCAAAACACTCTTGGCAGTAGAGATAAACTTTGCAGAGATACACAGTCCAGAAATATCTTATAATTACAAAGCACAGGGGGCAGAATGTTTTTACAATACAGCTGTGCTAATGTAAACATTTAATTTGGCAGCCCTCTCCACTCACTTTTCAATTAACCAGGTTTATGCAGATACTTTAGGTCTGCAATAAACTTTATTGCTGCTTCTCTTAGAGTACAGTTTATGAAACACAGATTTGAAGTATTTTGGGGGCTTTCTATCCATTTAGCAAGGCACATTGAAAATGTTAGGCTGTTGTAAAGGGAAGTGTCAATTCCTGTTTTAAAATGCCTTAGCTCTGGCTTCACTAAAAGCCTTTGCTTTAAAAGTATATATTAATTGGGGCCTGTCTCCTTTGCTTTTTCCCAAAGCAAGTAACAGGATATTAATAGAAAGAAATGAAATCACTTAAAGAGCTACAAAAGGACATTTGTGCTGGTGGTGATCATTAAAAAAGACAAATGCTCCTGGTGTTGCAAAATGGTGCTACAGAGAATAGCTCTGAACAGCAGTCTTTACAACTATAATTGCAATAATTGTGTGATAGCTGCAGTAATTGTTCTCATAGAGCAAAAGAAAAATAATTTCCAATCACAAGCGTTATTCAGCCTTAGATGGCAAAAGCAGCCAAAGAGCTGTTCCTGAAAACTCCGGAATGCTGGAGGTTATAGTATTTTATAATGAGATGAGTTAATTGGTTTTGTGAAATTTATTAATGTTTTATAATACAAAAAGGCATATTAGATGAAATCATTTCACTGACTATCAAATACATTAAAGTAACTCTCTCTAATAACTTCTGCATTTTGTGGGAATGACATGTGTGCCTTTGAAAGGCCAAAAGATGGAGTCCGTCCTCACAGTCCCTCCCCAGTTCTGTGAGGGATCTGACCATGTCAGAGGGGCTGTCCCTGGTCTGGAGGGCTCTGTATTCAGGAGCTGTGCAACACAGAGTAAGCACAGTCACAGATTAGCATGTTTTCTAGGGATGCTAGACTTCAGGATTCAAAGGATCACTTCCGTTTGGACAAACCTAGTAGTAGGACTCATGTTTGTTTGTTTGTTTGTTTTTGGTTTTTTGAAAGTACGTTGACACTTTAGTTATGAAACTTGGATGGGCAGCCAAGAAGAAACTGTCTCGTCTGCTTTGATATTTGTATTTCCAGGCCAAGCCACTTATTGCTGATAATTATGCAGAAGCAGCAGCAGCATGAAGGCTTTTGATAGTCCCACAGCAGTCTGGATGATGGTCTCTGCCCCACAGAGCATTCAGCTTTGGTTTCCCTGTGTGTGGGGCCAGGACGTGGTGGTGTGAGGCAGTGGGATGACTGGTTAAGGACAACAAAATGCCTTTACAGCTGACGTGCAGAAACTTGTTGGGGACTGGTTTAAGTATTTTTGCTTTAAACTTCCAATGAGAGAAGGGAAGGTATGTAAGTAGGTACAAAAGTGACAAGACTGAGGGCATAGTTTACCAGAAAGTTTTTAAAAGGGTGTGTTATGGCCCAAAAACAACTCAGTGAAATTAACTGCCTAATTTTTTAATAGATTCCAGAAAGTTTGGTTGTAAATGCGAGTGAAAGGCCAACAGAAAATAAGAGCTTCTTCCAATTGATTTGCCTTTTCCCAATTATCATTTAAGTGAGTTAATCTTAAATGCATTTTTTTAAAAAGTGAGTTTACTAGTTCATGGTAGACATCATATAAATGTGATTAAGTTAGTAAGTAGTAAAGCATAACAGCATAGATATATTAAAAACCTAATGGAAGAAGGTGAGCAAAAGCAGCTGCTAAACACTAATGATATAAGCTAGAACCTAGTTGTAAGGATAATTCTATCGCTGCTACTTGTTGAGCTGCACAGATTAGCTGTGAGGAAGGGAATATCATTTATGCATGGGATCTCATATAATTGATTATAAAATTGATTATCCAGAATAACTTCTTGTCCTCCATGATCACAACTACACTCCTACAGTAGGAACTGGTCATTGCTTTAAATTTCTAGTTGTCTTACTTTCAATCAATCAATCAATCAATCAATCAATTTTGCTGATAAATTGGAATTATCTGTTTTTCTCAAGTGCTCTACACTTTATTAGGAACTGAGTTATTCAGCATTATTGCTGTGATTAGACAGTGAGTACAGAACACAATGCTTTTGGGAGTAGTTTGAAACTTTTTAATAGATTTTTCCCTTTTCATGAACAATAACAATTCAGTTTGGTGGCAAAGACTGTGATGAGTGGGATCTTTATTTTTTCCTTTATTTGGCCATGGTAGTCTGTATGAATGCTATTCATGGCCCAAAGGCAGAATCAACATTTTAAAAAAACTATGCTTTTTAATTCATTGGTGTTAAAATAACATATAATCAAGATAGTTAAAGCCTGTCCACTGGAATGAAAGATCTAAAAGGCAGTGAGAAATGTATTTTGCAGCTATAGAGAGATTGTCTGTCATCTTTGACAACAGTATTTTAAGGGATTATTGGTAAATAAAGATCTTCATTAAATGCAATGCCCCATGTTGCCTCCTTTCCCAAGGTTTTACCCAACCATGGGTGATATTTGTGGACAAAATAGGCCTTGTATAAATATATGAATAAGCCTCCTAAACAGTTGGGGTTGGCACAAGGTGATTTTGTACTGCTCTGGGAGAGCAGAGTCCCTGTAGACAGTCTCCATGTCTAGCAGGGAGCCAGACCTTCCTGGGTAGCAGAGCAACATGTGCCACATTTTGCCATGTCCCCTTTGAAGTTTGTGGTCCACTGTAAGTGCAAGGAGCCTTGACTAACCAATGGAGGAAGCATCTAAAGTATTCCTCTGTCTGCACATATTGGCGAATTTCCCACCTCTTCCTCTGAGGCAATGAGCACCACTGCTGCACTGCCCTAGGCTACAACAGCCTGAAGCAATCTGCAGAACACTGGGCTGGCAGTGACCTACCCAATTCTGTGCCCAGGGTGGGACCTGTACCCACAGAAAAGCCCAAAACAGCCTCACTTTGTTCAGGTGTTTGGGAGTATGCAAAACCAAAGCCATTTTCTCCTGCTAGGTTTGAAGCTGAATGTTTGCATATTGTTTGGGCAAATGCTGGATGTGAAATAATACTACTCAGCCACTATTGCAAGAATTAAAAAACTATTTTCAAACCGGTAAATGCAGTTTGCCACAACTGGCAGTCAGCTGCCAATGCATCCTGAGGGTACTTAAAGTCTTGGATCCTCAGCAGCAGAGGCTGGGGGCAAGACAAGGATTTGTGTGGAGGGGATTCCATGCTCTAGCAGTGTCTAAGTGGATTCTTTAGAAATATGCTGAAAGCTCATACTCATACAGTGGCTGCAAGATTTTACCCTGCCAGCTCATAGATGATAGTAACAATGCTATGTCAGTTCCTTAGAAAACACATAAACAAGGGCAAATGAAGTATTCCCCTTAAGTTTAAGTAGATTAGACTACAGTATAGCACTTCAGTTTACCAAGTATTTAGTGTTTAGGATGTACAATACAGCGTATGTGACTTGCCAACTATCTGGGCTTCCCCCACTGTTTCTGGTTTGGCAACGGCATGGTTTTTCACCCTGTTGCAATGCTGACTGCCAAGGAGACATGGCCAGCTTTCTGCTTCCTGTCTTCCTCTTTGTTCTGGCTTGGCCTGCATTCTGCCTGCCAAGTCACAGATGCCAAAAGCTTATACAAAAAGGTCAAACAACTAAGGCTTGAAATCACCTATGCCAACATTTGTATTTCCCTTCTATTCTTCTGTATTCGGCTAAATGGAAAGTACACACCACATGGCTGAGACAGGGATACAGAGAAATTTTTTTGCAAAAGAGTGTATAAATTATAGTTCTACAAAGTGCTCATGGAGGCAGTGAGCACTGAACCTTTCTTAAAATTCCTCTTATGGAATTCCAAGTGCTAAAGATATATATTAACCTTTTGGTTTTGTGAATTTTTCTCTCACCTTCCTCACCCAACTTGGTTTTGCTTTCTCTTGCTGTTTTACTATATTTAAGAGTCAAGTTCTTTTGTAATTTAGTACTATAGATCTCTGCAGTTAGATCTGCAGCTACATTAATATCTGTGACACTGTTGTAACCACTAAGAAAATTAGACTTTCTGTAATATTTATAATTGGAAAATTCTAATAATAAGTATGTAGCTGTACAGAAGCTAAACTTCGTCAACAAAGATCTGAAAACTCCTGAACTATATGGTTTTATACGTTTTCTCCAGAATAAAATTTGTTTTCTTGATTGATTCAGACTCTCCTCACCTTTTGAGACAGAAGCAGAAAAACATATCTACTGCTTCTATTCCTGTAATATTTCTTATCATGACCTATTTAACCTCCAAGTTTTAAACTAAACACTAAGACTGATAATAGTTGCCTAGAATGATTGTTAACCATGAGTTTTAAAATTGCACAGTTTTAGGGTAAGCCTTCTATTCAGATGATTCATCAAAGCCCAGGTTGCAAAGAGCAGCTTACTGTTTCAGGCAATCTTTAAAGAAAGCTACTCACTTTACTCATCGTCCCCTACCCTACACACCCTTGAAAAGAAGGTGTTTCTTTAAAGTAATGGCAAGAAGCAAAATAAAACAAAACACAACGATGCCTTCAGCAACAGCCCTTTCATAATAAGCAGCATTGGATTGTCACTTAATCAGATGAGCAAGAAACCTGTACAACTCTTAGGTGTTTTACTTTGTTTAACTAAAAATGTTTTCACGGATGCTGCAAAAATTGCAGGGTTGAAGAATATTCCAAGACATATACTGGTGGCACAAGGAAGGCAGAGAGACAATGCAAAAAGAAGATAGGGAAAAGAATATGTTCATACAGCTAGTTGCAAGTTATCTTACAGTAAATCTGTAAATCTTTAACAATTTAACAATACAGTAAACCTTTAACAATACAGTATGCCTAAAGTTAATTATAGACCTAGATCTTGGGTAAATGGAGTTGCCAATGTCTTTAATGGGGTAAATGTGCCCTTTCTAGGGTCAAATATTGCTTGTGGAAAGCACAGGTGCAAAAATATTTTAGTTTTCTGTCACTTTTCCCTACTAATCGCTTGGAAAGTTGCAGTCCAGAAAATTTACCATGTTCTGCCCTAAGATTAGTGCATTGCTTTTTTCATGCCTTATAACTTAATAACTGCTATTTTTTGACATGTGAATTTTTCATGTGTGTTTAGTCTAGGCCTTTCTTTTTTTTTGCAATGCTGCAACATACTGATTACATTTTTTTCCATCTGCTGCTTATTAAAGTAGACTTATGCTAATACATTTGGGAAGGCAGCTATCCTTTTGGTGTTGACATATGCCTTTGCTGAGAGATCCTCATGTGGTTGCCTGTATTCTACATGAACTTAGAGTTAGGCTATGGTGTGTTTGAAATGGTGTAGGTGAGAACCATGCAAAGATACCTGCATCTGCTGTGACTGAGCCAAGTGGTATATGAAAAACACTCTAGATTTGCAGGCTTAACAGTCTTCTTAGAATGATGTTTTCTGGGCTGTCTCCTATATACAGTCACATACTGTCTAACAAACTGTGATAACCTCTAGACTAAACTTTAGTTTTATTCTTGTTGTCATGGCTGTCTGTCTTCACGTGCTGTTTCCATCTCCTCAACACTTACATCATGCTATTATCAATAGCTATGCGTATGGAAGTGATTTCATTGTTCATTTGATTAAAATAGAAGAAAGGATCCATACAATATTGCTAGTGTTTCCTGGGGGGACACTGGGCTTTAGACTTACAGCAGACAAACTGACTTGATCTGGAACGTGCTCTAATGTTGTTACACAGATTTAATTTTAGCGATTGTGTATGTAGGAAGACTAATGCCAGAATCGCTTTAGAAAAATTGGCCAAACAGTATGCTGGCCTATGCTTAGTTTCTGGAGATTGCTTTGCTGCTGGCAGACTGCTTCCCTTACCAGCCCTGATGTTGCATTGCTCTACTGCAGGCAGGTCACACACCACAGTTCTACTTCCACACGAGGAAGTAAATGTGGGCCATTGAACGATGAGCGTCATCTGAGAAGTGTTTATTGCTATGGGGCAGCTTCACACTTTCACAGAGATGGGAGCTGGGGGGGTGTGTGGAAGCAATCTAGGAGGACTGATGACCAGCAGACTTAACTGTGCTGTGTCCTGGGATCAGTGCCTCGGTTTTTTTCTTTCTTTTTAATTTTGGTTTTTTTGTTTTTTGTTTGTTTGTTTGTTTTTCTTGGTTTGTTTTGTTTTAAGTGTGATGTGTGACTTACTAGTGGACCCTCTTAATGCTTGCTTGTCAGTCACAGCCACTGGGTGGAGAAACACAGCCCTTGGCCAAGGTGAATTTCATGTGAGAATTTTATTTTCTCATGTTCCTCCCATTATTGATACCATACTGCTGTTCTGAAAAGCTCCATTGTTGTTCATGCTTCACTTTTAAGTTGACATTAAAAGCATACAGTTGTTATTCAGAGGTACAACACCTCCTGGAAAACTACTTGAAAGGATAAAAGCATTCTGAGGCTCTGGATATTTACTTAATACAACTGTTCATAAATGTAAAATTTAATGTCAAACTAGCCAATTGGTCTCTT